CCCCTGAACTCGGCCGGTGGCGCTTTGACAAAGCAGACTCTCGACGGGCGGACAAACGTGTGTCCGGATGCTACCGCCCCACACCTGGCCTCGTCCCAGAACTTTTCCTCCAGTCGACTGACCAGAGCGGCGCCCCTCAGGCGTTCCTCGCTGGAAACCAAGACCGAACACCGGTGAACAGGTCGTGCTGGATTAGGCGTCGTGTCGGCTTACGCGAGCCCGTCACGGCCGCCATCGCGGGTCGTGCACGCGACACATAGGGGAACGAGCACCATCTCCCGGCCACATCCCTACTTTGCAGCGTAAAAAGGCCCAGCAGGCCACAGTATGCTAAATCCTTTGTCGGCGCCGGCTAAAAAATCGGATGTTTAAAGCGGCTGTGTGGCACGAGACGTTACCCCAAATACGCGACCTACGGGTAAAGCTTTTATGCATGAAATGCCCCGGAAAGTTCGGTCCAATCTTAAGCTTGAATACAATTCGATCACCTACCGCCGCTTTCATAATTTAAATCCAAACCGACCGGAATCTGTGGGAAGCTTCTGCTTGATAATACTAATACCATTCAACCAATGTTCGGCACTGGTTAACCTAAAATGTCGCGTGGAATATGCATGACCATTATCATTTCTTACTGGATACTGCAACTCCTGCCATCCTGTAGCAGTTTCGTGCCCGAATATTTGTTACAAAATGGATCCTGTAATTACAGGAAACATGCCACTCGGAAAAAAACTTCAAGGCCAATACACAAGAGCGGGCTCAGTGTCCGTTCTATGACAGGGCCCAGCGGGCTCAGATCAAGTGGGCGAGGGACGGGATCTTCCAGTGCCAGAGAACCGTGCGCGGCGGTCCTGGCCGCTCACCGCAAGTGGTGCTGATCTGCTCGTAGTTGGCGTAGTGTCCGAGTGCTGGTGGTCGTGGTCGGGGCCGGGGGCCGGGGCCGGGGCCGGGGCCGGGGCCGGGGCTGGGGCCGGGGGGCCGGGGCCGGGGTCGGGGCCGGGGCCGCAGGCCACCACCAGCCCTGCTTCGGCTTCCGGGCCGCAGCATCGGCTCGCATGGGTCACACAAGTCGCGCCGCGCGGTTGCCGCGCCGGCGGGGCCCGGGCTGCGGCAGGCGTGGGTCGAACGCCGCCACGCGCCGCTGCGGGTGCGCGGCTGCGGCGCGCCTGCGGACCGGCCGCCGGGGCTGGGCGGGCGCCGGCCGGTCCGGCCGAGCCCGCGCCGGTCCGACGCAACGGCGCCGGCCGCGCCCGGGTCCGAGAGAAGCGAGCGGGGCCAGGATGGGCCTCCCGGGATACGGGCGTCGGAGCGACGTCTCGGAATCTGGGAGTCGGGTGGGTCCCACCTCGGGGCGCGCGGATCTGGGACACCACTGGTGTACACTCGTGATTCTGAGGGACCGTTGGAGTACGCCCGTGGGTCTGAGGGGCCATTTAAGTACGCCCGAGGGTCTGAGGGACCGTTGGAATACGCATGTGGGTCTGAGGAACCATCTGAGTACTCATGTGGGTCTGAGGAACCATTGGAGTACGCCCGTGGGTCTGAGGAGCCTTTGGGGTATAACCGCGGGTCTGAGGAGGGGCCGTTTGGGTAGGTCTGCCGACCTGTGGGACCGCTGAAGTACGTTCTCGATCTGGGGGGACATTTGCGTACGCCCGGTGATCTGACGGACCACTGGGGTTACGTCGCCGGTCCGACGGACCGCTGGGAGACGCTCGTGCATCTGATGAGACGCCAGGATGGCCTCGTAGGTCTGGTAGATCGTTGGGATTGGTCCGTGGCTCCAGTGGACAGCTTGGGTGGCCTCGCTGGCTCGGTGGTCCACCATTGCTGCCCCCTGTCCGCTCCATGCGCTGAGGGAAATTAATCCGTGGCAGCCTGGCACGCAATGCAGGCCTAATCAAGAAACGGGCTAGTTAACAACTGGAAGTATTGGGAAAATGCCAAACATCGAACAGAACATTAGCAGCGAACAAAAACACAGGTATTGGGTAAAATACAACTATCGAACACTAATCTTGCAGGCGAACACAATTATCACCAACAAACACCAATACCATCAAAACGAGATGACCGCTGAGGATCTAGCGTGCGCCACGCGTCGCAGGGCGACGTGCAGGCAGCGGGTCAGCCCATACCACCGGCGAATAAGAGAATGGCGACAAACAATCATCAGGCAAAACCCGTAGCCGCACGGCGTCCCACGCCCGACCCCAGACACAGGCGTGCGGCCAGCCGCAAGCAGGGGACGGCAGGCGAGGGCGGTGCGGCGGCGGTGCGGCCGGCTTGGATGGGTGCGCCTGTAACCACGCCCGGCCGGCGCACTGCCGTCAGCCCGTCCGGCGCGCCGCCCTCACACCGCACGCCGCACCGCCCACTGCGGGCCGCACGCCGCACCGGCGTCCGCAGAAGGCGCAAGAGCATAGCAGCGTGCTACGAGTTCATCACCTCCCCAGTTCACAGAGGGAAAATCGACAACATGTAGAAAAATCTAGAATCGCGATTACTAGGCGCTCTTCGCAGGTGGTCATCATTGATGGTCAAACACTAGCTGGAAATGCGCAGTCAAACGCAACCAAAATGTAGTAGTGCTATCCATCTAACGTCTAGTACTATTTAACGTCAGACGAGCTAACATCTAACGTTTAATGAGCTAGTAACCACGGCATGTTCATAGACGTAAACGCCGATATCCTTCCTAGCGTTTAAACATTCCACGTTGCACTTCAGTCATTCCAAGACAGTCTGCGGAGGGGAGCGCCACCAAAAAATGACCCGTAGCACCCCATACGGGGGATCCACAATGGTGGACTTATAGCTCCAAATGTAGCGAAAATACAGACGGCAATGCGACATCGTGGATGTGTACAACTATTGCCAATATGGACTTCCCGTCTGCCAAACCCTTCCAAGACCTCTCCCTTATCCCGCACGTGCAAGACAAACTGCGGATGTAAGCACATGAGCGTGTTGTTTTCGAACACAAGAGCACGACTACGGTCGCATTGGCTGATAGGCATCGGTCGCGTGTTTACGTCTCTGGAAAGCATTACAGGTAGTGTGTAGGTACGTTCATTTCGTTGACCTGATCTGGCTTTGAATTGCATATAACCCAAAGCAAGGTGCTTACTTGGTGACATTAAGGGGCTCCTTGAGACAATCAAATGAAGCAAATGACGCCAGAAATGCTAACCGTGCATGTTTTTACGTTGGACAGCAGCAATAGGAAGATAATAAGTCATCACACAAGCCAACAATGCCCCACATGAACCCCTCTGCAGGGCTGTAAGCGTACCGACCGAAAGAGCAGCACAAGAACACGGCCATTTCACCATGGCCGGGGCAGAAGCCCGCAAGCTGCGCACGCAGCGTGCCGCGATCGGTGCCCGCACTGCGCCGAACTGGAGCCGCCGCCCGGGAGCCTGCCTACCTGGCCGAGTCGGAGCTCTGCCGCCTCCTCGGCCGCCTCCGTCACGTACACGCCCTGGCGGCTGGCGTGGCGGCGCTGGTGCTGCTCACGCAGCTGCTGCATGCGGTCCGTGCGGCTGGGCGCGCGCTCCTGCGCCGTCGGCGTTAGCGGCCCTCCAGGCTGGCCCTGCGACGGCTGCCGGCAAGCCCGGTCGGGTCATGTCCGGCCAGGTCAGACCATGTCAGATCAGGTCAGGTCGGGTCGGCTCATGTTCGGCCAGGGCAGGTCCGGTCAGACCATGTCCGGTCAAGTCAGGTCGGATGACGTCAAGTCAGGATTGGTTGGATCGGGTCGGGTCTGGCCATGTCCAGCCAGGTCAGGTCAGGTCGGGTCGGGTCGGGTCATGTCCGGGGAGGGCAGGTCAGGTCGGGTCAGGCTTGATCCGGTTGGGTCAATTCAGGTCAGGTAAGGTCCGGGCATGTCAGTTCAGGTCGGGTCGGGTCACGTCGGGTCACGTCTGGCCAGGTCGGGTCAGGTCGGGTCGGGTCGCGGTATATGTGGCGGTATATGCTCAGACAGGGCATGCAGTGAGCACGCCTACCGCAGGGCCACGAAGCAGCTGCAGCAGCTACACGGTCTCCAACTCGTCCAAGCTACTTAATCTGCTGATGCTTGTTCACAAGAAGTGCTTCCCACCAAGACACTGAGCCGTCAGCGTCAATCCAAGGTCAGCGCGGACATCAACGCATGTGAACTGCATCGTACACAGAGGTGCGCCTGTCTCGGCATATCGCTGCCGCAACAGTCCCCATCCGAGAGACAGCTGCCGGTCCGCTCGGCCACAGCGGCCATGCCGTCAGCTGCGTTCGACCAGTCACTGGCGGGCAGCTAAACAGCGGTGTACACTCGCTCGCCGTGATCGGCGCCGGCCGTGGGGCACACCGCACCACTCACCGGCCTGTGCTGCTGCTGCTGCTGCTGCTGCTGTTGCTGCACCAGCCGCTGGTACTGCTGCTGGATGCGCCGCTGCATGTCCTCGGCTCGGCGCCAGGCCGCAATCCTGTTGAGCTCTTGTTGCTGCTGGCGCGGCTCGTCGGGCGTCCGGCGCAGCGCCGCGTCCGCCGCCTCACCGCCCTTGCGGTGCCGGCCGAACCTGGCCACGCGCGGGCCGCTTAACACGGGGCCCGACACACCGACAGGACGAACGGGGGGCGCGTCATAATGAGCACGGTCAGGCGAGCCGATACGGTGTTGCCGCACAGCGACCCACACTGTGGGTAATGATGATGATAAGTTGGGTTTTGGGCGCATCGACTGCAGGATGTCACGCAGCACCCAACCCGGTATTGTGAGGCACACCTCGATGGACATAATATGACATCAACACTATCCGGTAGCCCCGTGACTCGACTGCCCCCCCCCCCCCCCCCCCCGCAGGGCTGGGCGGCCTCCCGCACCTGAACATACTGCCGAGTCTCTTCAGCAGGCCGGAGCGTCGCTTCGCCTTCTTGGTGTCGACAGTACCTGAGCTCATGGAGCTCTGGCGGGCGGCTCGGTCGCGGCCGAAGCCCGGCACCGCCCCCTCGTCCGCAAGATAGGTGACAAAATCGGCGTCAGCCGCCAGCGGCACTGCAGGCGTCCGAGGCGTGCAAGGAGGGAGAGACGGAGGGCGGTCAGCGGCGGCGGCGGCCGGCCACCAGCGGCGCGGAGAGCGGCCTCCACCGACAGCGGGCTCGCCCCAGGGCGCGGCCGACGCTGGGTGTCGCCGTGACGGCCGAGAGACGCCGCGGGAGACGGACGGTCGCCTCGCCACCGCCGCGCCGGCCACCACGCGGCACCCAAACGCGACAGCGACAGGTACGGAAGACAGCCCACCGCCGTATCACGACAGCCAAGGCAGAGACGACACGAACCGGGTGAAGAACAGGTCCCTTGATGGAGTACAAGGCACAACCGCGGCCTCAGGGCCCCTCCCGTTAAGACAGGTTCCGTGAACTGTAAGTGATGTCACGAAGATTGCGCGTCGTCACGCTCCTTTTGGCCGCTTGCTGGTGGCGACGTGTAAATTTCACGTCGATTATCTTCCAAACGCGTAAAATACACTGTGATCTTGGGCGATGGAACGCACTACGAGCATGCGGGTGCAACTACTAATGCAGTCGCATGCATAAATACGCCCGACAAATATCAACAAATTGGCCCTTAAAACCACACAAGATAATGTTGTGACATGCAAAGAGCGAAGCATTTAATATTCTTTTTAACAAATTTTCCTGACCACCGATGCAAAGCATAGCATAGAAACACACCAGACGAAAATGACGTAAAACCATGCGAGGTGTGAAAATTATGCCTGAGATTTAACACGGAACGGTTTGAGAGAGAGGGCGCACGCATTCTCAGCTCATACCGATGGATACTGCATCACTGGGGTGTAAATCGCATCAAAAAAGCAACTAGCTGCAGCCTGGTCACAATGGCGTCAGGTCGCACAGCTGCTCAGCCGCAACAGTATGCCGCCGTCTCCAGTATGTCCCATTTCCCTGTCTCTGTCCACCCGCCGACGGCCGGCCGGCAGCAGCGTCCACTGACGCCTGTCCCACCGGCGCCGCCCACTGAGCGCCCATCGCCGAGCGCGGCCGGCCCGTGCCGACCACTCACGAGTCCCCACGCGGTCCCGCACGTTGGTCAGCGGCGCCTCGTAGCTGCGGTCGACAGCGGCGCGAAAGCCCTCGTTGCGGCCGCGGCCGCGCACGGCCTGGGGGGCGACGCCGTGCGCGAACGGCCACTCGCTGTCCTCCACCAGCGACTCCTGCCGGCCGCGGGCCGCGTCAGCAGGCGCACGGCGAGAGGCCAGCGCCAGGCGCCACGCCCCATGTGCTCGGCTTTACGCACGTGCTGGGACGAATGGCTCAACAAGCTCGACCCTCCCCCACACACCACCATCGGTCGCCTCCACAACATAATTCGGTTCTCGGGCATGCAAACGGGTTGCGTATTCCAACAGTTAGCCAACAAAACACGGACACGCTGTGCGTTGTCACCAGTCGCCAGCGTTGAACGGCTGACGCGCAGAGCACCGCCCAACGCCGGCTCACCTCGTGCGCCATGGCCTGCAGCGACTCAAGACTGGTAGGACTTCGTGCTGAGGCTGGAGCCAGTAAAACAGTCGCACTCAACACCCATAACTTGTAGTCTAATGGACTTCTTTTTGTCTAAAATAGTGAATTTTATAACTAAGGGCTCGGGTGTTCAATAGCTAAAGGCTAAAGGCCAAAAGGTTAACACCCGGCCAGCTCGCCCGCCAACACAGCAGCGCGCCGCGACGCGCACATTTTTTCGCTAATACGCATCCTAGCAACCGCCGTCAGCGGTATTGGAAATAGTGCTGACCGAAATGGCCCAGCTATTGCTGTTCTGGCAAAAATGTTTTGTCTTACGCAATATCAGGGACGACGAGAAATAGATTTATAACATCGTTTTGCAAAAAAATTACATTTTTGTAGCTCTATAACTAGCTTTCAAGAACAACGAGAAACAGTGCTTTGGAGCAGGAAAGCTCAGGCCACTAAAACCAACATTGTCCAAGATAAATTGGATGAAAGTGTTGGAAATGCAGCGAAACTTCCCGAAATATTCTGCGGTTGCTTCTTTCTATTGTTTCTATGCATTGAGGAGCGTTGAGCATTCATTCGTTGATGGTCTCGACTTCTCGGGTCGCGGACAAATCGCAGCTGAGCCCACGAGCTTACACCCCATCCCCTTCCGCAAATACATGGATCCCTACAAGATAGCACGTCATGCTAATGAAAATATGTTCGTAGTGCAGTTGCACTTTGTGTCCTGCGCCCCTGCTGGGGCGGGACGCGGCAGATGGTCAGGTTCGCAGGCCGGCCTCGGCTGCGCGACAGATGCGCGCCGCCGCCGCAGTTCGCACGGCCCTGGCCCGCGGCCCCGCTGTTGACAGTCGCCGTGGGGGAAGCAGAGAGGGTGGGTGCACCGTCAGGGGCTGCTGCGGTGCGAGACTAAAATACAGAGAAGTTTCGGTGAAATCCTTGGCGTCTCATTACAAAACTCCACGACATGCAAGCCCCTTGAAGGATCTTTGAAGATGTAATATCTTCAACCTCATTCCCAATTTCTGACTCCCTTTTGCCACACAGTCCCTAGATACGAAAGGAAAACGTGAAGACATAGGAACCTAAATGTACTCTTGTAAATGTACCCAAGGTCACCACATAAGGAGAGAATGGGCATGCAACGTCACAACCGAGAGAATGGGCATTTATACCTAGGTTTAGACTCAACTGCATTCATTTAGTACATTCAAACTCCATGTTCACCATATCCCAGGCTGGTCAATCCTGTGCTCATTGCGTTCCTGTGGTAAATGACAGTTGTTTAGGTGCGCGCCTACGCGCCGGGAAAGTGGCACAGTTGCGCCAGAGCTGTCCCTGTTGTAGTTTTTGGTGTTGTGGCGCGCGTGGCGCGGGGGACGCGGGGCCAAGGCTATCTAACGCGCGGGGCGGTCCAGTCCGGAGGTACGGGGTTCGATTCCCCGCGTTGCCCGCCCTTCCTGCCAGGGTGAGAGGCAGGCGACGCCATATAGCCTCAGCAGCTGAGTGCGTCGTAAAGCCCCAATGACACACACACGCACGGTCCAGTCTGGGTGTTCTTCAAGTACTTCACCTTTTTTAGAAGAAGAAAAATCTCCACCGCGAGCGTTTTACGCGCAGTGCGGCACGGGCTCAACCAGCTCGCGTTAGCAGGATTGCCCGACTTTGAAATCATACAATCCAAACGACATCTTTAGCACCAAAAGTAATGAGCAGGCAATTAACCTCATTCACTACGTCGTTTCGACCACTGCTACTCACAATGCTCGCATGATTGCCTATCATCTTCAAGAAATAACAATCTGATAATATAATAATTTCGGCCACAAACAGGTCATATGATTTTTAACACGCGGACAGCCGACGACTTATAGCATGTACTAAAAGGGCAACATAAGCACCAAATTATGTACATTCAAGCAATTAAGAAAAGTATCCCAGTTCTTCACATTCGTGTCTCGAATTGATGTTTCCAAACAGACAGCACAGAGAAAAACCCAACAATGTCGGCGGAACTGAAGCATTTCCAGCAGTCTTAAAAAACGGACCAAGCCACGGGAACCAAACACCGAAGCCAAGCCAACGTTTTCGGTGCGGTACATTGACGTATATTAGCGCAGTGCATCTCATACACGAGTCCGGATAATGTGATTCACACTTATTAGGACCAAACACATCGTGACGGCATTGTCGCTTAAACTACAACACTTGGGTTCAATTAATATGACTTCTCCGTTTGCCGTGACATGCTGCAATCATGTGCAGAGGGACTGTCGTAGTACTCTCTTAAAGTAGTGCACCTCCTGTACAATTCCAACGAGCAAGGCTTGAAATCGCTCTGACATCTAGAGACATACTCTGCCGAGATAATATGCCAACAGCCACCCTAAGGAAACGGATCAAGCCCCGGGAAACGAAGACTGAAGCAAGGCCAGCGTTTTCGGTACGGTACATATACGTCTGTTAGCGTAGTGCACCTCACACACGAGTCCGGATCATGCGATTCACGCTTGTTAGGACTAAACACATCTTGCTGACGATGTCGGTGGATATGCAAGACTTCGGTCCGATGAATAAGACTCATGCATTGCCGTGAGATGCTGCAATCATGTCGTGCAGAGGGACTGTCGTAGCACCCTCTTAAAGTAGTGCACCTCTTGCACAATTCCAACGAGCAAGGCTTGAAATCGCTCTGACATCAAGAGACATACTCTGCCGAGATATTATGCCAACAGCCACCCTAAGGAAACGGATCACGCCCCGGGAAACGAGGACTGAAGCAAGGCTAGCGTTTTCGGTACGGTACATTTACGTCTATTAGCGTAGTGCACCTTATACACGAGTCCGGATCATGCGATTCACACTTATTAGGACTAAACACATCTTGCTGACGATGTCGGTGGATATGCAAGACTTCGGTCCGATGAATAAGACTTATGCATTGTCGTCAGATGTTGCCGTCATTGGCGGACGGACTGCAGTAGCACATTCTTCAAGTAGTACACCTCTTGTATAATTCCAATTGGCGAGACCTAGAAACCGCTCTGACATCCAACGACGTACTCTGCCGAGATAATATGCCAACAGCCACGCTAAGCAAAAGGACCAAGCCCCGGGAAACGAAGACTGAAGCAAGGCCAGCGTTTTCGGTACGGTACATATACGTCTGTTAGCGCAGTGCACCTCACACGCGAGTCCGGATCATGCGATTCACACTTATTAGGACTAAACACATCTTGCTGACGATGTCGGTGGATATGCAAGACTTCGGTCCGATGAATAAGACTTATGCATTGTCGTCAGATGTTGCCGTCATTGGCGGACGGACTGCAGTAGCACATTCTTCAAGTAGTACACCTCTTGTATAATTCCAATTGGCGAGACCTAGAAACCGCTCTGACATCCAACGACGTACTCTGCCGAGATAATATGCCAACAGCCACCCTAAGCAAACGGACCAAGCCCCGGGAAACGAAGGCTGAAGCAAGGCCAGCGTTTTCGGTACGGTACATATACGTCTGTTAGCGTAGTGCACCTCACACACGAGCCCGGACAATGCGATTCACACTTATTAGAAATAAACGCGTCGTGCTGACAATGTCGATGGAAATGCAAGACGTCGGTCCGATGAATAAGACTCATGCATTGCCGTGAGATGCCGCCATCATGTCGTGCAGAGGGACTGTCGTAGCACCCTCTTAAAGTAGTGCACCTCTTGTACAATTCCAACGAGCAAGGCCTGAAATCGCCCTGAAATCCAGAGACATACTCTGCCGAGATAATATGCCAACAGCCACCCTAAGAAAACGGACCAAGCCTCGGGAAACGAAGACTGAAGCAAGGCCAGCGTTTTCGGTACGGTACATATACGTCTGTTAGCGTAGTGCACCTCATACACGAGTCCGGATCATGCGATTCACACTTATTAGGACCAAACACATCTTGCTGATGATGTCGGTGGATATGCAAGACTTCGGTCCGATGAATAAGACTCATGCATTGCCGTCAGATGTTGCCATCATTGGCGGACGGACTGCAGTAACACCCTCTTCAAGTAGTACACCTCTTGTATAATTCCAATTGGCGAGACCTAGAAACCGCTCTGACATCCAAAGACGTACTCTGCCGAGATAATATGCCAACAGCCACGCTAAGCAAACGGACCAAGCCCCGGGAAACGAAGACTGAAGCAAGGCCAGCGTTTTCGGTACGGTACATATACGTCTGTTAGCGTAGTGCACCTCACACACGAGTCCGGATCATGCGATTCACACTTATTAGGACTAAACACATCTTGCTGACGATGGTATAAGGTACGCTGCGCTTATAAATATATATGTGCCGTACCGAAAACGTTGGCCTCGCTTCGGTCTTCGGTTTCCGGGGCTTGGTCCGTTCCCTTAGAATTGCTGTTGACACGTTATTTCGGTACAGTGTGTCTTTGGATGACAAAGCCGTTTTTAGGTCTCGCCAAGGAATTATGCAAGAGGCGCACTACTTTAAGAAGATGCTACTACAGTCTGTCCGCACATGATGGTGACATCCCACGACAGTGCATGAGTATTATTCATTGAATCAAACCATTGCAGCTCAACCGACATTGTCGGCACAATGTGTTTATTTCTACTTAGTGTGA